CGCGTTTCGGTGCTGAGAGTCTTGGAGGGGTGTGTGAGGGAGACGAGGAGGGGATGAGTGCTTCATTGAGGCTTTGAGAGGGGGAAGCTGCAGCCAGTGAGCGTTTTGGGGTTGGTCTTGGTGGAATGAGGGAGCATGGGCTGCTTGGGGAACCCTCCACTGGTGCGATTCTTCCCCCTGTGACGAGGGAGGCGATGCCCGGTAAGGCGGGCAGGGGAGCGGGTTCTGGTCCCGCGGATCCTGGTTGTGCTCACTGATTTGTCATCGTAGCTGTGCCTCCGAAGACAGAGGCAAAGGCGAAGGCGCTGAAGGCCAAGAAGGCCGTCCTGAAGGGGGTCCACAGTCACAAGAAGAAGAAGATCCGCACGTCACCCACCTTCCGCAGGCCCAAGACCCTGCGGCTGCGGCGGGCGCCCCAAGACCTGCCCCACGGAGAAACAAGTACGTGTAGGGTGCTGGGCTCTGCCCTGCTGTGGGTTATGTGGGGTGGGAGCAGCCCTGTTGCATGGGCCCTATGGACTTCGCTGCAGGTCTCGGGGTGAGACCTTGTCAGTGTCCTGCTCTGGGAGCTGGCAGAGCCCTGGGGCGTGGGGGGGCGGTGTTTGGGGTGCAGGTGATGATTTCAAGCGACCAAAGCCTGAGAGTTTGTGATTAGAACTTCTTTTGGCAACTGATGCACCCCAAAGAAAACCCTTGAAGAGCAGAAATGGCTTCTTCCATTAACCTTCTGTTAACCAAAGGGTTTCTCTCCTGCAGGCTGGACCATTATGCCATTATCAAGTTCCCTTTGACCACAGAGTCTGCCATGAAGAAGATAGAAGATAACAACACTCTGGTTTTCATTGTGGATGTCAAGGCAAACAAGCACCAGATCAAGCAGGCTGTCAAGAAGCTTTATGATATTGATGTGGCCAAGGTCAACACATTGATTAGGTGAGAAGAGGGGGGAGAATGGGTCACTGGTGAGTGTGAGCTGCTTCAGGAGCCTTCAGGGGCTGTTAGCAGGAAATGGGAGCACACATGAGTTTCAGGAGGTGTGGGATTGAGCTCTGTGGTGTTTCAGTGTTAAAGCTTTGAGAAATGCAGCTTGTGACTGAGCTCCTCTCAGTGGAAGTGGGACATGTTGGCAGACCAAAGGGGCTTCACCAGGGAGCTCTTCTGACACCCAGGGAGCCCTTCTGACACCCAGGGAGCCTTGTGCAAATGATGTAAATGCTTTTATTCACTGAGTACAGTGATGTTTCCAAAGGAACCACTGATGCACAATGCTACAGTGGGGAAGTGGAGCATGTGGGAAGAGTTGTGTGCCTCTGCTCTGATACCTCCTGTTCCCCTCTAGGCCTGATGGAGAGAAGAAGGCTTACGTCCGACTGGCTCCAGATTACGATGCGCTGGATGTAGCCAACAAGGTGAGAAACTGAACCTTTTGCAGCCTGTCTTGTATCTCCTGCATTCAGTTGTTTGTCCTGGTGTGCACATGAGGGATTGTGCTTTAAGCATGCAGTACTTTGGAGTATCCTTGTAGTTAAGACAGGAGCTGATGGTTCAGAAGTGAGACCACTGCTGTGTTGCTGGAAGTGGTGGACAGTTTAGTCCTGGAGGTGGTTGAAGCAGGCAAGAGGAAAATGTGATTTAGTGCAAGTTTCTGTGGACTAAATGCATAAAGCTTTTGTATGAGGCACTTGGGAAGGTCTTGGATGAAGACGCCTGTGCTCAGAGGACGGGAATCCTGGGGAGATGGAGTGATGTCTGGTGGAGGCTCTGCCTTTCTGCCACCGTAACATCTGTTTTAACATGCTTTACTTCTTTCCAGATTGGAATCATCTAAACTGCATCTACCAAGGACTGTACAGACAGAAGAATAAACCCTTGTGACACCACTGAGGGGCTCTTGTGTTTTGTGCCAGCACAGCCTGTGTGAAAGACAGCACCCAGCCAACTTTCGGGGTGCACTTCAGTGAAGGGGGTTCCTCTCTCTCTCCCTGGCACTGGGTGGGCAGAACTGACTGCTCCCAGAGGGATCGCACGGGGAGCAGTGGTGTCCTCCTGATGGGGTCTCCTGCATCACTGACCTCTCTGCTGTGGGTAAACATGAGGTGACACTCCCCCAGATCTCAAATTCCTTTGTATTTACCTGAAACCTCTGGTATCCTCCTGCATTTTCTTGCACTGTGCAATTAGTATGTGTTTGTGATTTGGTGTCCTTCCTTGTGGAGCGTATCCCAGGCTGTTGAGTGCCCAGGAGAGAGGCAGTAACCACAACAGAAACGTGAATGCTTCAGATCTAGCAGGAGCAGAGTGTCACACCACTTCCTAAGTGTATGAACTCCTTGCTTATTGTGCAGGCTTCACTTGATGAAGCCCTCAAGCTAATCCAGTAGTAGAGGTGCTGTGCTTTTGTGTCCCTGGCATGATCTCTGCTCCCCACGCTGCAGCATGTGAATCACAGCCTGGTTTCTGCGACTGCTGTTCTTCTGACCCCACAGGTTCACAGTCCTCACTGGGGCCGTTTCCAAACTGTTCCTGCCTTGGCAGTCTTCTGCTTCTTCAGATCTGTAGATGAAAATGGCTTTTCAGAGTGTTTGGAGAGTTGCAGGAATGTGAGTGAGCAGGAAAGGGAGGTGGAGAATGGGTAAGCTTTTAGAGGTACTTGATCTTAAGTGTATAGTTAGACCTGAGCGAGAATGGTGGTTAAAGCTGTGCCCAAATATTGATTGGGCTAATTGAGTTCTTGAGGGGTGGGACATGGTGTTTCTTGCAGCCTCTCCTTGCGTCCTGGGGTGGTGGTTTGTATGTGTGTGGAGAGTGGTGGATGGGAAGGGGGAGCTGTTGCCGTAGGGGTAAGGATCTGTCCTGGGTTGTGGGCCCTTGGCCTGAGACCCTTCAACCTTGTGCTCAGAGCTACCATCACACCCTCACCCTGTCTGAGGAACTGGTGTCCTGGGGGTGGAAGTGGGAGCTGCCTGGAGGCATCCCCCTTCTCCCTGGCCCTGTGGGATGCTTATCCAGGCTGGGAGGAGAGGCAGGAGATGAGGGATGAGAAACCACCCAGGAGGAGGAAGGAGCATTACTTCCCTGCTTGCTTCCCAGGCACCAGTCCAACCTCCTGCCCATGGCCTGGGGAGGGGCTGAGCAGCAGCAGCAGGGGCTCAGGGGGCTTTGCTTCAGCCCTGTGCTCTCTCCTTAGTTGTAGTCACCCCAAGAAAGACACGGGGGGAGAGATGTCCCTCCTGTAGCAGAGTGGTACTGCTGCTGGGGTGAGGAGCGGGTTGTGCTGCAGCACAGACACCAGGGAGGGATTTCACATCAGCATGACTTGCAGTCTGCCCTGACCCTGCCTCAGCACAGTGGCTGCTGCTGGCTGGCTCTTTGCTCCCCTGTGCTTTGCCTCTTGCTCCGGGCTGGCAGCCGGCCTGACCCACAGTTGCCCCAGCACTGCTGGGAGGTGCTCTGGCTGGAAGCTAGGAGGGGAACAGGGCAAACAGGGCTCCCTGCTTTGGGAAGCTTTGTCATGCATGACCCTTCCATGCTGCTGTAAGGGTGGCGGGAGCGTGGGGCTGGTCCCCTGAGCTGGGGTAGTCACGTCTGCTTCATGTGGAGAGACAAGGGGAAAGGTGCAGAAATTGGGGTGAGGAGAAACTAAGATCTGAGCTTGTAGGGGGTATTTGTAGAGGGAGTTGGTGCACAGAGGCCACGGGGCTTAAGCTGCAGCTGGGCAGATGTGTATCTGTCAGGATGTGCTGCTGAGGGTGAGGCTGTGCTCTGCTGGGGCTCCCCACAGCTCAGCACAGGGCTGCTGAGCTCTGCTCTGAGGGTTTGAAGCTGGCGTAGGTCCCTGCCAACATCCAGAGTATCGTATCTCTGCTCCAGCTGACAGGCTGCTCCCAGCACCCTCCATGGCACCAGTGCATCCAGGGAGTCCCAGCAGCATCCCAGCCCTGTGGGGTGTTACCTGCCACCTTCAGAGAGGGTGATTCCCCACTGCTCCCACTTAATCACTGGCTTATTCCAACCACAGTGCCTGTGTCTGCCCAAGCTGGGTGGTGGTGGGGTAGGTAGGATGGATCCTGTCCCGGAGCTGGGTCCCTTTAAACCCTATTGCTTATGCCATAGGCATAATAGGGATCCGATGTGATCCCTGAGCTGTCACGTCAGCAGGATTTGCCTTCCCAACGCTCTGGTGCTCCACAGGACTGGCCGGGCTAGTTCTGGCCCTGCTGCCGTGGGGAGCTGAACCCCCCCCCAGCTCTCTCCTCCTGCTCTGGGGGTGCTGTTGGAGGCAGCCTGATCCTGCTGCTGCAGGATTGGACCCACCACCCTCACAGGAGGCTGGAGCTGCTCTGTGCCAATGAAGATGGCTCTGGAGGAGGGGGGATGCAAACATGCAGCAGTCTTCCAGGAAGAGCCCATGGCCTCACACAGCTTTCCCATGCCAGCTCCACTTCACGTGGCTGCCGGGTGAGTCATGCAGAGCAGCCAGGCTCCACGCCGCCAGGCCGGAGACAGGCAGGTCAGGGACTGCAGCAGGGCTCCCTACCTCTCCTGGCTGCTTTCCCCTGCTCCCTGCACAGCCCTGGCTCTCTGGAACATGAGTGAGGAGAAGAGGGACCCATCCATGGGAGGGATGGGGTCTTGCTATTAAAGGCTTAGCACGGTGCAGCTGGGCTGGTAGGACCCAAGAGGCTTGAGTGCATCTCTGGAGGGTCCCAAGAACAGAAATGTGCCCTCTTCCTCCCTGAGGACTGCCAGCCCTCTACTGGGAATGGGGGCACATCCTTTCCCATCTTCCTGTCCCCATCATCCTGACCCTGCGCTGCCCCACAGAAGAGCCAGCCCAGGCGTGCTGCGGCAGCAGTAATCAGACCGATTTTAATGCACATAACGCCCAACATCACCACGGGAGGGACTCATCCCTTCCCTCGCAACCCTCTCAGGCCATCAGCTGCAGAACGCAGCCACCCCTGGCCTTCCAGCTGCCCGTGTGGAAGCCGGCTTGGGCTGCTTCTCCATCGGCTGTGCCCCTGGTTTCGGTGGCATCCCTGCGGTGAGGTGAGGCTGTTGGGCTGGTCCAGCAGGGAAGTGCTTTTAGGCAGCAGAGCAGGTGAAGGCAGAGCCCGGGGCTGCGGAGCTAGCCCTAAGGCACATCAGAGCAGGTTGGGAGAGCCCAAAACCTCCAGAAGCCAGAGCCTGGGTCCCCCTTGGCGCGTACGTCTCAGTCTATCAGAAACTTCTCACCATCTACGTCTCTCCTCGCAGAGCCCTTGTGCAGGGAGGGGAAGAAATCGGAGCGGAGGAGGCGGGAGAAGTACATGAGGATCATGGCATCGAGCAGCAGGAGGTTGGCGGTGAGGAAGGCACCCTGGCCCTGCACCTCCACGTAGCGGAGGAAGTACCAGGTGAGGTAAGCCTGGGGCGCCAGGCGGAAGGCAAAGTACATCACCAGGTTGACGTACTTGTTGGTCTCGTAGAGTGCCGGGGAAGGCACGTTACTCATCTTCAGCAGCATGCGGATGGTGAGGAAGATGTTGCTCACCTCCACCAGCAGCAACAGCATGGCTGCCACCAAGAAGCGGCCCGTGATGATGAGTGAGACGAAGGCAGAGATGGCCTGGGGGGGACACACAGTACAAGGTAAGCTCTCCTCGCCCTGGGGAGTGTGAGTCCTTCCCCACCTAGGTCTGGGTGTACCCTAAGTAGGACCACACAGTGCTGCTCCCCACATACAGGCATCCCAGCAGCCCCCCAGGCACCCGGAGAACCAGTCTGGAGAGCCAGTTCCCCCTGGACCAGTTACACCTCCCTGTGCTGAGGGAGCTGGGACCAGCCTCCAGCTCTTCCCTCCCTGGTGCGGCAGCCTGTCTGGCTCCCGGCGCTCGGAGCTGATGCTGGCAGGAGTCCTGCCCTGCCAGGCACCCTCGCCTTGATGTGCAGCCTACCTGGCAGCCAGGGCGAGGCGGAGGGAAGGGCTCCAGCTTGCCCTGCCATAGAACCCGAAACCTGCATGGGCTGAGCTCTGGGGTGTGCAGTAGCCCCCTGTGCTGGCCTCTCACCTCCCCGGGGCTGTACTCACCATGGCGTGGTGCACCAGGTACTCCCAAGATGAGCGGGACTGATGGTTGAAGATGATGTCAAGGGTGTCGTGGATGAAGTAGCCTGTGGGATGAAGGGGAGTACTGAGGGGATCTGGGTTGTTGTGTACAGTCACCTGCTGCAGTGGTAAGGAGGAGCAGCAATGAGGAGGAGCGTGCTGTGAGTGTGCTCCATGTGTTGCACCTTCACCCTGTCTGAGCGTGGGGTGATGGCCAGGCCCCGGGGGCAGAAAGTCTGCAGGCTCCATGCTCATGATTAAAGCAGGAGGTATGGAGGAAAGTTGCCCAGCCCTTAAGCCAGGGCTCCCCACAGCCCAGCGTGCCGGGAGAGGCTGGAGAGGGATTGGGCAGAGCCCAGGGAGTGACTGTGAGCCGTCGCCCTGCCCGGCTCCTTACCTGAGGAGAAGCAGACCAGCAGGTGCCCTGAGACGCTGTAGCCGTCCTGGATGTCGGAGAGCAGCTCCGGGGCGTGCCAGAGGCTGGG